GATGGGGATTATCGCGGGAGCTGAAAATGACAAATTCCAATGCTAATTTTACGACCATAAAATTTGAATACTTTATAAGACAACGTGTTTTCATTTTGTATAAATACATTCCCACGAGAAAAAGTAAAATGCGGGCAGTGATCTCTTCTTGTTAAGAGCTTTTAAAATTTTCAGCACATGCTATCCATATGTCGATTCAGTGTTGCCAAGGAAACCTCGTGCTTACATGTTTCTTACAGCCTGAAATTATCACGTGGTGTAATTTCAGATCTCTAGACTACTAGCTTTGCTTTGTTCAACATCGCTGTCAATCCATTTCTTCTCGTTTAGAACCGATTTCTATTTTTGGGGTTCGCAAAACTGGAATACTGTGATTTATCTGCCTTGAATTTATCGCTTGCTCCATTTCAGAATGAATCGTGCTCGCACACCAAGCGCTACGAGTTTTTTCGACAATATTCAACGCACCTTCACCAGTCTTGATGACAAATTGTAAGTTTTTTTATTTGCGGTTGCAGTGATTGAAAAATACAGGACAGTTCATTTTCAGGGAGAAGAGCGTTCAGGAACACTTGCGTAATGTTTATGCAACTGTGGCAGCCGGCGTTGGAGCGGCAGCTATTGGCGCAGCGGTCCATATTTTCACAAATGTCCTCAGGTGGGTAGTCCTTGGATATGATAACACAATGGACGTTGACTGTCGAGATGCGCCATGCATCCATTCCGCTAAAAATCTTGACTGCATTCGAATGTTGTGGAGCTCATAAGAGCACTTAAAGCGAGGGATTGTGGTAACATGCTTGTTGACATCAGAATATTGTTGAAGAACAAAAACGGAATCAACTGGCTATGACTTGCCATGCATTCATTCCGCTCAAAATCTAGACGGCATTTGAATGGTGCAGCCTATGAACGTACTTTAATTGAGCCATTGCGATAACATTGGGTTGGTTCGTCGCTGAGTCGTCTTGTTGACGCCAGAATTGAGTTGAGGAACAAGATCAGTGGAAGAGATTGTCGTTTTTGTGTGGAGTTTGTTATAGCTACACATCGCCCTTATTGTACCAGTTAAAGTCTATTTCTATTCCAACGATGGTAGTGAATGGGCAAAAAGATCAAGCTAGGATGAGACTCGGAACCACAGCTGTGGTTCTGTGTAGCATTTTTATGCAATACGTGTCATCTTCACCAGACCCTTTCCTTGGATGCAGCGAAATATTTTTTTGCAGTCAAGTTTTGGTTTCAAGATCAACAATTCTAGTTTCTCAATTGGTAAGCTGTGTGTAATATGTATTAATTGATACTCCATGGATTTCAGGGCAAATTTCCTCTTATCTTTGGCATCGATCGGTTTGATGTTCGCCCTCATATCGACTCCACACACTCGAGCAAATGAGAAAAAGAGACTGGCATTCTTCTTCCTGTTTTGCGGCATTTCTGGTAAGTTTTCTTCCACGTATCGTAGCAAAATGCCTAGTGCCTGTATTTCTCTTACTTGTTATACCACAAGTCAGATGTCTTTCTTTCTTGAGCTTCCTTGAAACTTGATCAAGTCCTAAGCAGCTGAAGTCCTAATTATCCGATTGACTGAACTTTTTATTATAGATCTACTGCAAGAGCTTGACATTTATTCGTTATTTTTTTATCACGCTCAAAAGAGCTGTACAAAGCAAGACAAAAGCTGTAGTTTCACTGGTGCGATGAACAAAGTTCAGAAAAAGTAAACATTCTGCGAATTTCCTTTTTTTCGCTCAAAAGGATAGTAGAAGAAACAAAAAATTCTAAGCTATTGGCATAAACAAACCAGTCGCATTTTTCGTAAACAAAAAAAGAAAAGTTTTTGAGCTCTAGTTTGCGCCATCGACGTAGAAAAATAGCAGGCTTCCAACCTCGGACCCAATCTGAAAATTTGTCCATTTATATGTAAAAATCGTGTTTTCAGGTGTGAGCATGGGACCTCTTTTGGAGCGTGTGATTGCGATAGATCCATCATGTGTGCTGACAGCCTTGTTGGCGACGACTACAGTGTTCGGATGCTTCTCTCTGTTGTGCTTGACAGCCTTGTTGGCGACGACTACAGTGTTCGGATGCTTCTCTCTTGTTGCTCTTCATGCTCCATCAACGAAGTACATACATATGGGAGGTTAGTGTAAAACGATTTCAATGTTTTTTCCTGAATATTTGAAGGAAGTGAATAATCTGGTATTTGTTCCTAGAGGCCTTTTTTGAATTGGCCCTGGCAATATAATATCGATTTGGCATATCACGAAAATATGATCATATTCTTGTTGTTTACAGGTACTCTAGCTTCTGCTGCACTGTGCCTACTGTTCGCCACATTCTTTGCGTCATACTACGTCATCATCCTTGGAGGTTGGTTATGAGAGAATTTATGCCTTCAAGTGATTCGAAATAGACTTCGTTCATGTCCAGCATAAGGATCTATGTATTAGTAAATCTGATTCGCTCAAAGAAGATGTTTTAAGTCTTATCTCTTCTCTTTTAAGGGCTCGCTTTGTCGTGCGCATTTGTGGTTTATGATACTCAATTGATCGCGGAGAAATCTCGCCGTGGAGACGATGACTACATCTGGCACTCAGTGGAGCTGTTCATCGATTTCGCCAACATTTTCAGGTGTGTTCATGTTTCAGTTAATTTTGCCTTTTCAAAAAATTAAAAACAGACACCGTTCAATATTTTATCTTTCTCCCCAGCCATCGTCAGATTTCCCATAGAGCTCGTGTACAATGACATGCATTGGCTTCTCATACATATTACTTTTTTTCCTCAGTCAAGTCTCATGACTATATTGAGGAAAAGAAAAATTGTCATCAGTTTATGGATATCCATGCTAAAGATCGAAAAATTTTGATTTGCTAGTTTTTCTTTCATTCTTTGCAACTTCCTTCTTTAGTCATGCTCAACTTTAACTATTTTTTTCGTATTTTATTTATTCGAGTAAACCCGACACTAAAAGGAATTTTGCCGAGCATTTTCTTCAGTATTTGACGACAACTAACCAGAATACGAGTTCACTGAATGTGAATTAGAGCAATCGTTTTCTATCCACGTAACACATTGTGTGCCGCGCGACGCATGTTGACCACATGGGAAGAGCGTTTTTTTTGAGCTGTTCAGTATTTTTGAGAGATTGATTATGATCAATTTTTTTTTCATAAAAAACATAAAAGGTATGAGGTGCATGTGGTATGGAGGTTCGCGATGAGTTAAATCGTTTGTTACCCCCACTTCTAAACTGCCCGCGATTCGATCACATCGTATGCAGTGGTTCCACATCTGTCCGTCAGATCCTCTTCTGTAAATCGTATTCGAACCCGCATCGAGGCTATAAAAAATGTGTGTTGGTATTTCCAACAAAAGAAGTGAACAGTATATTTTTAAGCGCGGTAGTGATAGCATAGGCAGCCTGATATTTAAGATTGCGTTACACGGTTTATTTTTCTCTTGTCCTGGCTATCAGTTCCCCCAGTTACTTAACTGATCGAAATTTGCACAAGAAGGGAAAAACATTAATGACCTTAATAGTTCACAATGCAGGCTTATCCGCATTGTAATGTCGCTGGCAATTTGAGTAGGCGTCAAATGCATAG